TTGCAATGAAAAACTAGCCCTGATTAAATTTACTACCACAACTTAATTCTGTGGATGACACATTTTCAAAAACTGTCATTTTTGGATAGGTTCTGAATTTCCGTATGGTTAATGTCGACTTCTTTTCTTAGTTACATCACAATGTATTTGGGTTAAATTTTCTTTTGGTAACTCCTTGAAAATAGCAATATCAAGGGGATTACATGAAGAAGAAACTTTTTTACTTTTAATTTCTTGTTTAATAATTTGGATCTCTTCGGTGATTCCTCCTTCGGACACTCATAAATAAAACCGTGAAGACCCCATTTTGACAGATTCACCCACCTTTCTGATATCAACATCGCACTTCATGATAGATTGGTACGTGGTCTCATGGATACCGGAAGATTCCATTCCGATAAAGGCGGGTTGGAAGAGAACCTCGGGGCAACGGAAGCGCTCGTTTCCAATAGTGATGACCTAAAAGCTTTTTTTTTTAAATCTCTCAAATGCTTAGAATTTTGATGTCCTCGACCTTACCTGTCCGTCAGGGAGCTCATAGCTCTTCTCCAATGAGCTTGAGCTGCTGGCAACAGCGAGTTCTTGTTCGAAATCAAGTGCAACATAGCACAGTTTCTCCTTAATGTCCCTGACAATCTCACGTTCGGCTGAAATGTTGAACTTTGAGCTTTTGAGACTATAATTCGATTTTCGCACGCGCAGCTGCTATCGCTTCGCTAGTGTTGCGCTCTATTTGCCTAGTTATCAAGCCTATGTAAGCATGCCGTACCCGTAGTAGTGAAGGTGTAGCCACGCTCAGTAAGAATCTTCATCATGTAGTCAGTGAGGTCACGACCAGCGAGGTCCAGACGCTGAATGGCGTGGGGGAGAGCGTAACCCTGCAAAATTGTGAAGTAGGCTAGTAGTGCGATACTAGTTAAAACTAGTGCTAACCTCATAGATAGGTACGGTGTGGGTGACACCATCTCCAGTATCGAGGACAATACCGGTAGTACGACCAGAAGCGTACAATGACAGCACAGCTTGAATGTTTACATACATTGCTGGAGTGTTGAAGGTCTCGAACATGATCTGAGTCATCTTTTCCCTATTATTCTTGGGGTTCAGAGGAGCCTCGGTAAGCAGGACTGGGTGCTCCTCAGGTGCGATTCTGAGCTCATTGTAGAAGGTGTGATGCCAGATCTTCTCCATATCATCCCAATTTGTGACAATACCGTGTTCAATTGGATATCGGAGTGTAAGAATACCTAAAGAGAGGAAATTTGAGTAAAAAATGAAGATTATGGAAGTTATCGGCAAACCTCTTTTAGATTGGGCTTCATCTCCCACATATGAGTCCTTCTGTCCCATTCCCACCATCACACCTTGATGGCGAGGTCGTCCAACGATGGAGGGGAAGACGGCTCGAGGAGCATCGTCTCCAGCGAAACCAGCTTTGCACATTCCTGACCCATTGTCGATCACGAGAGCTGCGATTTCGTCTTCCATCTAAGCACATAGAGAAATTATTCACCAAATGAGAAGCAAAAGATACTAAGTAGCTGAAAGAAATGAATGTAAAATGATAATGATGTAAGAAGAATGCTTGAAGAGACAGTGTTGATT